CGCTCTCGGAAGCTTTCTGTGTTGGCGGGACGGCGCTTCAGCGGTGGTCGTTCCAGTGTCGAGTGGGTTGCCATCACTGCTCTTGCTCCTCCGATCCAGTGGAGCGACCCACGGAACGCGCTGGGCCCTCTTTAAAGAGCGTACCAGCGGTATCCAGTGGCCCTCCCCCCGACCAGATGTCAATCTCAGCATCGGAGGGAGAGCTGTCCGATGAAGAATCGGCCCCGCTGCCACCCTCCGGGATGGTGGCGAGGTCTGAGTCGGATCCGGAGATGGCAGCTATGCTTTCCCGGGCCGCCGAGGGTGTAGGGTTTGCGGGGAAGCTGCTTCCGCCTTGCACGCTATGGCGTTACTGCAGGTGCACCAGGCCAAGGCACTGAAGGACCTGCACAAGGATGGTCACGATCCGCAGCCCGTCTCGCTGGCTTCTGCGGACCATCAGCCTCGGCTATGCGATTCAGTCAAATCAAGCTTCACTACAGTGAGGACGGCCGATGCCCCTTTTCTGCGGGCAGAGATCGCAGTCCTACTGGCGAAGGAGGCGATAGAGCCGGTCCCTCCAGCCGATATGAGGTCGGGGTTTTACAGCCCTTACTTCATTGTACCCAAGAAAGGCGGTGGGTTGAGACCTATCTTGGATCTGCGCATCTTGAACCGGGCCCTTCACAGTCTCCCGTTCAAGATGCTTACGCAGAAATGCATCTTCAGGTGTATCCGTCCCCAAGATTGGTTCGCAGCGATCGACCTGAAGGACGCGTACTTCATGTGTCGACCCTTCCACACCACAGACCATTGCTGCGGTTCGCGTCTGAAAAACGAGCATATCAGTACAAGGTCCTGCCCTCCGGGCTGTCCCTGTTGGCCCGTGTCTTCACGTAAGTTGCGGAGGCACCCCTTGTTCCCCTGAGAGAACAGAGCATTTGCATTCTCAACTACCTCGACGAAGCAGTCTCAGGATCAGTTCTGCGAACACAGGCTTCGTGCTGTTCACAGTCCGGGCCTGCTCAACCGTACAGCCGACGAGATGTCTCGCGCAATGCTCCCGGGAGAATGGCGACTCCATCCCCAGACGGTCCAGCCTGAGCACCATGGCGCTTTGGTAGGGATCCCAATTCATCAGTCACCGACGTGACTCGGGGTGACCGACTGAAAGGGAATGTCTCGGTTACGTATGGTAACCCTCGTTCCCTGAAGGAGGGAACGGAGACGTCACGTCACTCATCTTCGTTCATCGCGATCTTACAAAGTTCCGTTATTATCAATGAAGCGCTCTAAACTGCACAATGAATCTCTTATTTACATCGCGTCTGCACTTAGTCATGAGATGATTCACAAGCGTGCAAAACTGCACTTAAAAACTGTGGCGCTTTCAGCGGAGAGTGAATTCTGACAAAACGTTTCTGATTGGCCATTGCATTTAAGAAATCCACAGATATGTCTGTGATTGGTTACATTGCTCTACGCTGCAAAAACACGTTGAGGGTATTTAGTGCTTGGCTAAGTTCTCCAATTGACCAATCGGTAAGCTCCTCCCCTCGAACGCAGATGAGCCAATGGCAGTCGAATATCAGTTGCACGGGAGCAAAACTCGGTCATCTTTAGGTTTCAGCGCCATAGAGAAACATTGGGAGATCCGAAGCTCGCATCGGTTTAATGGTGTTTATGCTAGAAAAATGGAATAACGATGTGCCTAGTGTACTTGTAACACTAATTCCAGTTATCCTGAGAGGATAGGCAATGTAATTTATTTTATTCCATTTCCTAAATCCAACCAGAGCAAAATGTCCCTAAGCATTTAACCCCAATCACAATGACGAAAACGTTCATTTTCTGGTTGTCATACTCTCATTAAGTTACACTTTTCATCTGCTCAAGCAGAACGTTAATCTCATGATGTGCTTCCGCAATGTATCTCTGGCTAAAACTAGCTAACGTTAGCGTTAAAGTTAGTGAGTCCATGCTAACGTACAAACCTAAATAGCGAACTGTTCTCACGTCATGTCCTGTGCAGTGAAAGTCAAAAACACATAAACGAAAGTCTATATTAGAGTGCCTCCATATTAATCTGGTTAATTTAATCTTAGTCTGCGGTATATGAATGGTGTTGGTCCGGGATGTTGTCATTGCGATCGTTACGACCGTAAAATAATTCTCCCGTTTGCATTGTGATCTGTATTTTTACATATTTATTTTAATATCTTTTATATATATCCCTCCATGGCATATTTAAATCCCACTTGAAGATCAGTCTGTGTCCCAAATTTATCAGAAACACCTCGGGAGAAGGTTTTCACTGACAGCTGTCATTGTAAGACAGTGAGCAACTCTGTTTGTTTGTCCGAGTGAGCAACAGTAACTAAGGGGGCGGGGCTTACAGGGATTCCATGACTAACAACTTGCCGCCAATGTCGCCCATGTCTAAGGGTGTACTCAGACACTAGGCGTTTTGAACCGTGCCCGAGCGCGTTTGACCCCAGTGCCCGGTTTGTTTGAGTAGTGTGATTGCTCCCTACTGTGCTCGGGCGCTGTTCATTTAGCCATCCCTGGCTTGCTTGGAAGAGGTGGGCCAGAGCACAGTTCAGTTGGGCTCGGGCATGGTACGCATGTTGTGTATTATCTTGTACATGACGTAAGCGTGCTCTGGCCAGGAATGTTTAGTGCAAGTGTGAGTGCAGGCCAGTGGGCGAGTGGGGAGTGGGGATAATAGTGCTCGGCCTCGTTTCAAGGCAACCATGCCTAGTGTGAGTACACCCTAAAAGGATCATAAAAAAGTTAAAAGATTTTTTAAAGTAAAAATTGGCCAAGGGCCACTTTTTAGTCCCAGTTGACCCCTGCTTTTGCAAATTCTGCTCTGCTTTTGGAGTTCAAATGCTTTTGAACTCCTTTTTTTATGTTGATATAAAGTGGTTGCATATTGTTAAAACTAATCGTGATATTGATAACTTTGTAGGACTGTTGACTGACACTATAGATCAGTGCTTGGTAAGGGAAAGCAGTTATAAACAAAATACAATATTTCTGTTGAGTTTGCTACAAAGAGACTGATCAGAATTCATTCATTTTGCCTTGATTTCTGTGGCGCACAAGGGCGGCGCCAGAGAATTTTGAACGCAGGTGCTGAGGAGGTGCTAGATCAATGACAGGGGAGCTGGGCAATTAATAGTAAATATGACCAAAACAGGTTATTATTATTATTTGTATTAATAATAAAATGGCTATATAGGCACATTTGAAGTGTTTGAGGAGTGTCGGAGTATTATCGCGCTTACTGTATGACATGGGGGCACCAGCGCAATCTTTTTTTTTTTTTTTTCCTGTGGAAAGGACATAAAATACTCCGTCATTTTTGGATGTGCTTTCTGCCGTCTCATGCAGTCTCCATGAATGGAACATGTCACAACAATGAACCGGCTCACAGACTTAAGAAATAAATCTGTAGAAAGCTTGAAATGTCTACTATTAAACGAACCAATTCAAACAAAAAAACAAATCTTCTCAAAGTATGTATTCTGTATGAAAGGTGCATTTCTCTATTAAAGGCACATCCATTACTGTGGAGATGGAGAGTCAGCACCTGTGTTTGCAGCCGACACTGACTGGGAAAGCACTAATTTAGTAATAAATAATTAAAATGTCTTCTTTTTCCCAGACGCATTCATAATCATTACTTTTGCTGGTGTTTGCAGTAAGCTTTATGCAGCGCGTTGCATTCTTCTGACCTCATTTGCTTGCCTGTATATAGTTCACATAATCATCAATAAAGTGTATTCTGAGATCTGAGGTCTTTTTTTATATCACTGTATTAGTTCACTG